GTGCACCGTAGGTGTCGTCCGAAAGGTCGCCGCCTCGGACACCACGTCGTACTCCTCGCATTCGCTCTCCGACAAGCTTACCTGCTGGACAGGGCGCTGCATCGGTCTTGCTTTGGAGGTTGGCGCCTCCCCCGCGGCATACGTCTTTGCGGGCCACGGCATCGGCACAGGCTTCGAGAACCTGGGCGCCATCACTTGGTCGGGTGGATGGCACGAGAGGTGCAGCTCGAGAGAATGTGCGAGGCAGTTGCTCACGAGCCAAACAGCTGACGGGGGGGGGGGGGGGGGAGGCTGCACGCCGAACCAAAATGGGGCGGCCAACTGCCAGGGCGGGACAAAGGTGACACAGGAAGACGATGGGCTGAAGCCATCGGTTCCAGATGCGTGGGACCCGTGCATTATGTTGGCGGGAAACCTGACCCCCGTTCGGGGCCCTGGACGGGCAGGAGGGGGGGGAGGGGGGCGAGGAAACCACGTCGCGGGCGGGCGACAAAGCGGGCGGCGGGCAGCCGACGGCCCCAGGACCCGCGAGGGGGCCCCGATCTTCAACGCCTCCTGACGCCTCTTTAGCCAGCGGCCTTGGACAGGTGCTGTCGGTTGCATGAAGGCGCATCCCAGATGGGCTGCGGGACCACCTCATGCCAGAGATGACGAGCATCAGAGATGTGGCATGTCGAGACCACAACACGCGCAAAGCAAGGAGGCAACACACCATGGCGTGCAGACCAAACATGACACTAAAGAAGCGCGCTGTGTGCGCGACCTGGAGACTGAACGAAACCTTGCACACTGCAGAGGTGGCAAATTTTCTATGACCACTAAGGGCTGCGGGAAAGGGAAAGGGAGAGGAGGGTCAGTGCTCACATGCAAGTGGGGCGGGGCCACAGCTAGTCAAGACTGGACGCTCGGGGCGGCCCCTGCATCCAGTCTCGCTGCGCCCTCCGTCGCCAGGGCGACCTGCTCCGCAATTTGCCCCTGCAGGGCGTTGGCTGCTGCCGATCGCAGGGCTGCACGAGCCGCGGGCCGTTCGGCCTCAGCCAGTTCCCCTACGGCACGGCGCAGCCACGTCTCCGCCTCTGCGCCCCAGCGGCCGTTGACATCTAGGACAAAGGGCACCAGGCCCGAAAATGGGTACCTACGGTGCTTCACTTTCTCTCTGCGCTGCAGGGCTGCCTGGCGCGGCCGCCCCGTCTGGGCCACTGCCACCTCGTCCACCAAGCTGATGTCGAGGCAAACTCGACCATGGATGCCTCGATGGTAGACCACGTCCAATGTGGCCGCGCCTTGCTCCTCCGCGCACCACTCTGGGATGACCTGCTCCAGCAGGGCATGATGGCCCACCCCGCGCAGCCAGAGCGCCACGGCATCTCGAATGGCATTGCGGCGTCGCGTCGGGCCGCCTCCCCTGGGGCAGCTGAGCGCATGAATGCCCCAAACGTCCACCGCGCGGCCGCACGTCGGGCCGTGCTGCGCCATCGCGCGGGCGGGCGCTGCTGGTCGGTTCAGGCACGTGCACTCGGACTGCAGCAGCGGCAGGTGCATGCGCCTCTTGGCAGCAATGCAGAACGCGCGGCCGGCGAGGGGCGAGACCCCCTCGAAATTATCCAACCAGGCGCCCGCTGAGCTGCCCGAAGCACTGCGCACCGCCGCCGCTGCCGTTACTGGCAGCGCGGCCGTGAACGTCTTGGTGGCGTGGTCCCGCACGTGCTGGGTGCACGTCTCCTGGTCCTTTCCCTTCCGCCCCTCCAGAAGGCCCTGCCAGCGGTCGCTCTGAGGGCGACGGCCGCCAGCCAGCCGCCCCTGCCCCTCGTCTGCTGCTGAGTGGGCACGGCCAAGGCCTGGCCACCTCCGAAAGAGGCCGATCGCTGTCGATTCTCGCAGCTCCTGGGCCGCCGCGTGAATCCCAGCTTCCCAGGATGCCAGGAGGGCGGCTGGGCCGCGCTGCTCAGCGCTGCCACAGCCCAGACCTCCGTCGCTGACCTTCATGAAGATCTGCTCTCTGGGGGCCGCCGTGACCCCGAGCCAGGCGTTGACGAAGGCGACCACTCCGCCATCCACCCTGCGGCTCCACGCCGCCGCGAGCGGGAGCGCCCGCTGGATGTGAACGCAGGCGCCCCTCGACCAGATCCGCATTAGCTGGAATGCGTCGAAGGCAGAGAGCCCATGTCTGCGTAGCGTCAGCAGCTCCTTGAAGTAGCGGTCCTGCTTCTGGAGGAAGGCTTCGCCGCAGGGGGGTGGCGTGGCGGCGCTCGGGGCGGCCCCGGCGCCGCCAGCCTGCCCGTGTCCTCCCTCATCGAGGTCCTCTGGGACGGCGAAGTCCGCGAGTGGGACGCCCCTCCAGTCGGTGTCCACGTCGTGGTTCGCGTAGGCCAGGGCGGGCCCCACCGCCTTGAACTTCTGGACGCGGTACTGGGCGTACTCTGCAAACTCGGGCGGCAGGACAGCTTGGGCGTCGGGGGACCATATCTGGGTCTTGGACATCTTGAGCTTCATCCCGCGGGCTTCGACGCGGGCGCGCCACGCATCCAAGCCACGGAACACGGCGGCCGCGGTGCCCACGAAGTACGCGACGTCCAGGAAGGCTAAGCAGTCCCCTTCCATGTCCACCGCGCGCCGTTTGAGGCGGTTGGCCACACGGCGGTGGAGTTCCGCCGCGCCGTCGAGCTCGTGGGGAGCTGCGGCTGGCGGCATCGCCACGTCGGCCCCCGCCCCTGCGGCCCCTCTCCCTGGCCCACGCGGGGCGGCCCCAGTGCCAGGGAGAGGGCGCCACTCGCCTGGGCGAGGCGCCTCGGGCTGCTGGGTGGCGCTGAACTTCCTCACCACCGCCGCTGCGTCCGCCATGTCCCCCTGGGGCCACACTGCCGCCGCCGCCCGAGACATCTCTCCCGCTCGCGCGAGCTCGGCGACACGGCGTACACGGGCTGCGACGTGATCCTCGCGGCCCTTCGTGGTGACCGTGGTGCGCGTCTGGTCCTCCATGGAAAGCCAGGCGACATCCCACTGGCCGTCCTGGATCCACCGCAGGCGCTCCTGGAGGCGCCCCCGTCGCGTCGTCGGGGTCGGGGTCGCATTTTCGCTGAACAACAGTCCGTCCAACGAGAGGAACACCTTCCACAGCCTCGTCAATGTGCTCGACGACTGAGCGTCATTGCCCTGGCGGGTTTGCTCAATTGCCAAGCACAACCGCACCTTCACGTGGCTGACGGCTGCCGCCGTGCTGTCGGGGATCATGGCTGCGATGGGCGCCCCTTGGAGCAGGATGCGGCCCCACCCGATGGCATCCCACCAATCCAGGTTGACGAAGCCCACCTCGTGGTACGCGTCCTCGCTCGTCACCTGGTCGTCCAGGTAGTCGTCGTAGACGCCGGGTCCGCCATCCTCGCCTGCTTCCGCAGGAACGTCGAGTGGCGGTTGTAGGATGTCCGCCGTGGTCGGCACCGCTGCCTCGGCCGCCCCCACAGGAGTCCCCCGCGCGCCTGGGTCGCACGCTCCTGGCGCGGCGGCGGCAGGGGGCCTCGGGGCTGCCCCAGTGCCCCCTGCCGCGCCATCTCCCTAGGTGGGAGGGGCGGGGGCCTGGCCTTCGACTGTCTCCAGCAAGGGCTGGATGGGGCCCCCTCGGGCCTCCAGGGCTGCCGCGAGGCGATCCCTGTCGCCCTCAGGGAGCTGAGTAAAGCCCACCATCGCCGTAGCTGGTGGTAGTGGGCCATCAACGCAGGCCATGTGGAACCACTTCCTGCCCGCGTGCGCCTGGGACCCCGCGGGTGGTGTCACGACGCCTGCCACGCGCCACTCGCCAGCCTCGAAACCTCCCATGCAGCGCGTGCAGTGAGCCTTCTTGCCACGGGCCGCTTGGGCGCTGACGCACCAACGGGTGATGCGTCCGCCCGTCATGCGGCGCCGCCTCTGTGCTGGCTGGCCCTCGCTGTCACGCATGTGGACGTCGGTGTTGCCATCCACGGGGATGTCGGCTGCGTTCACGCCAGCCGACGCGGGAGCGGCCGCGGAGGCGCACGGGGCGGCCCCAGCACCTCCGCTGCCTCCCGCAGCTGCCAGCACTCCGCCTTCGCCTCGAGCCGTATCGGCGCTACTCCCAGCCACTCGAGCCCCCGCACCTGCGTCCGCAGCGCCGCCAGCGGCCGCTGCCATCCCAGGACGTCCCTTCAGGGCAAGGAAGAGTGTTCATAACAATGAGTGCGCGAGAAAAGGAAGGGTGACTGTCACCCGCGGTTTGAGGGCAGCAGTAGCCCCCCCGCCCACCGGCTCCCCAGAGCCTTGGGGGGACTACTACTACTACTACTACTACTACTACTACTACCACCACCACCACCACCACCACTACTACTACTACTACTACTACTACTACTACTTCTACTACTACTACTACTACTACTACTACTACTACTACTACCACCACCACCACCACCACCACCACCACCACCACCACCACCAAAACCACCACCACCACCACCACCACCACCACCACCACCACCACCACCACCACCACTACTACTACTACTACTACTACACTACTACTACTACTACTACTACTACTACTACTACTACTACTACTACTACTACTACTACTATACTACTACTACTACTACTACTACTACTACTACTACTACTACTACTACTACTACTACTACTACTACTACTACTACTACTACTACTACTACTACTACTACTATACTACTACTACTACTACTATCTACTACTACTACTACTACTACTACTACTACTACTACTACTACTACTACTACTACTACTACTACTACTACTACTACTACGACTACTACGACTGACTACTACTACTACTACTACTACTACTACTACTACTACTACTACTACTACTACTACTACTACTACGACTACTACGAATACTAGTATGACGACCACATCTCCTCCGCCTCCTCCTCCTCATCCTCCTCCTCCTGCTCCTTCTCACTGCTGCGCCCCCCCACTGTCCGCCAATGCGACCCCTGGCCTGGCCCTGGCCCCGCCATGGTGGTGTCGCTGACGTCAAGCCTGTGCTTCAGGTCCTCCTCCCGCGCGCCACATCCCCACACAAGCGATGCCTTGATGCTCTCAATGCGCGGTACCTGGAAGTGCCGGCCTTTGTTTTTTGACTTTCCCCGGGCCCGGCGAGGGACGTCGGAGGCCCAAAACGGCCGAAAGCATCCCGTCGTGTTTTTTTCGCGACGCGGTCATGTCGTCATGTCTGGGTCCACGGTGGGGAACGTGGCGCTTCCCCAAACGATGCCCGCCGTCCGAACGGGCTTCCCTCACTCTTCCGCCCTACAAGGCCGCATCGCCTTCCCGCACATGCGACTGCGAGGTCTGATGCAGGACGGGCAGAAGCGCGGGACGCAGACGTGCAAGGCTGCTCCGCGAGAGAGAGCGAGATGTCTTGATTCTTGCCATGCCCAGTCCCCAGGAGCCCCGACCCTTTCCCCAAGGCCGACATGTCGTCCCGAGTCGTGTTCTGACGGTCCCAAGGGCGGGCGAGGAGCCCCCCGAGGCCGCAAGGGGCCGCAAGGGGCCTCGTCACCCCGCGAACGCGTTCGTACATGTGCAGCCTGCCACGGTGCAGACCCGCCGCCGCCTCGGCTGCGACGGGGGCCTCGCCGCGGGGGCCCGCCTTCCTGCCAACCCCGTGGCCCGAGAGCAGCCCCCTGGGAGATGGGACGGCCGACCGCCGCATGCAGAGACGTTTCGCGGCGCTGGAGGCCTGGGCCCTTCCTCCTCCTCCTCTCCTCCCTCCTCCTCCTCCACCTCCTCCTCCTCCTCCTCCTCCTCCTCCTCCTCCTCCTCCTCCTCCTCCTGCTTCTCCCCTTCCCCCTCCTCCTCCTCCTCCTCCCCCTCCTTCTCCTCCACTAACGTCCACGACAGCAAAATCGAATAACTGACCGAACCGTCGAAGAAACCGACGTCGACAGACCGAGAGCGGCCCAGAGGAACGGCGGCAACGCGGCAGCCAACCGCGAGGACCAAAACATCCATCCCAAGACGCCGATTACGACAGCAAGAACCCAGGGAGATCCATACCCAAACATGCTCGCGTCGTGGAAAAACAACGACGGGAAATTGTTGTCCAGTTTCCGTCTCTGGGGACCCCCGCAGGCCCCCGAGACCGTCAAAAACGATTCGGGACCGCGAATTGAAAAAGAAATCCAGACATCGCACCTGGGCAGGCTCAGGGATCGGGGACGGGCGTATGCATCTTTCTCCAGGGAGCCAGGACATCCACACCCGACTGACCCCGATCCCTACCCCCGTGGAACGACGGGGGGTCCGGGATCAGTTCTTTGGCGGCGCGCGGGGGGGGGGAAATGAGAGGGGGCAGGCCTTTTCAGCAGGTTGCGGGGCTTCGGCGTCCGAGCCTTCCCCCGACCCGAGGCCGAGCCGAGCTGGCCGAGTGCCGCCGGACCTGCGGGCGCGGCCGAGGGAACCGACCGCAGCGCCTGCCCCCGCCCCGCCCGCGCAGGCCGCCGCGGCCCCAGCCTGGCCCGGGCCGCGGCGACGCAGGGCCCAACACGACGCTGACCGCGCGGCGGCCGCGGCCCTCCGCGGCCCTCCGGGTACGCTCAATGTGGCGCAAGCTATGCTGCGCAAGCTGTGGTGTAGTTGATGATGTGCTACGCGGGCCGGTGCAAGCTAGGTGATGCAATCTGCTATACACGTAATGGAGTCGATGTGTGCATCCAGAAACGCCAGCCAGCGCGCGAGGCGCCAACGGGCGCCCACCAGCCGACAGTCCAGAGACACCAGCCAGCGAACGAGCTGACCACGAGGGCCCACCAGCCGAAAACTCGGAAACGCCGGTTGGCGCACGAGGGGTCCACGAGACGCCCACTGGGCGAACACCCGCAACCGACAGCCAATGACGATCGTGAGACGCACGTGAGAAGCCGAGCCGGGAGCCAACCTCCTCGACCCATCGGACACGAGGCCCCCTCTGGAGCGCCCAAGGCGGCGGCGGTGGCGGTGCGCTTCCTGCCCCCTCGGCCCCACGCGAGAGCGGCCCCGGGCAGGAGGTGGCCTCCTTGTGATCGGCTTCCGGGGGGGCAGCGGGAGAGGGCCAAAAACCCCAAGCGCACATGCCAATTTGGCGGTGCGCGCAAGGGGGTGGGAGGAGGGGGGAAGGCTTCTTAGAAGGAGGCTGCTTCTTAGAAGGCACCGGCCTTACATCTATAGACAAGGCCCGCGTCTTCTAAGAGGCAGGGGTGCGTCCAAGAAGCCTTCGCCCCTCCCCCTACCCCCTTCTGCGCGTGGCCGACCAATGCTGAGGAGATCCCTGTGAGCCCGCGCCAAAAAGGTGACGCCGGCGAGGGGCAAGTCTCACGCGTAGCCGAGTCGGCCGAGTGGCCTTTGGTGAGCGGCCGTGGGGGGAGGCGGGGGGGCCAAACCTAAGCTCGCATGTCGCTGCTTCCGCGTCGCACCCAGCGATCTGATGACCCCAGTGGGCCGGCACCACAAGTCCCTCCGGCGAAGCGTCACTCTTGCGCGTAGCCAAGTCCCGTGCGCCGAGACTCTCCGAGGCGGGCCGGGGCAGGCAGCCTCAGAGGCTCGCCCGCCGCCGCTGGGCCGCGCCTTTTCCCGCGGGCGCGCCCGCAGCTGCGCCCAACGTCGGCCCACATCAGGCGCGCGCTGAGCTCGGCGCCCGACGGCGCTCTCGGCGCGCGCCTGGGCGCTCGCGCTCGCCGCGCGTGCGGAGGGGACTGCGAAGCGGCCGCGGGTCGCGCGGGCAGCCGAGGGGGGCGGAGGGGCGGACGCCGTGCTCCTCGGCTACACGCAGGAGCGGCACTAGGCAAGGGTGACCTTTGCTGCGCGGCCTTGTGGAGGTCGCGCGAGACCAGACCTGAGCGCGCAGGAAGCTGCTATCTAGTGATCGGGGGGCCCCAGTGGGCCCGCACTAAAGGTCACTCCGGCGAGGGTCACTCTTACATGGCGGCCGAATAGATGGGGTCGAAAGATCGCGCCGCATCGCATCGGCGATGTATCGGCGGCGTCGGCGACGCATCGGCGACGTTGGCGTGGAGGAAAACGGGCCCCACATCGAGCCGCATCGCCCATGCATCGGAAAGACGGCGCGATTATCTGACCCCATTGGTTCCGACCCCATCTGGACGTCTTGGGCACGGGTAGCCGGGCGCCCCTCTCACGAGCGTCGGGGCGACGATGGGGGCGAACAGCCCAGAGGGGGGAATAATGCACGTATCCAATTGCGCCGACGGTCCTGGTTGGGGATCTAGTGACAAGGGTCAATCCAGCAGACCCGGGCCAGCCAGGCGTTGTAGGATCCTGCAAGATCCTGCAAGATCGCGCAGGCAAGATCGTGCACCCAAACCCGGGTCAATGCAACCCTGGCTCTGCAGGCTCCTACGAGATCTGGCGCGCTGCAGGACCCCCGTCGGCGTCGACCCCCGTCTCTTGAGCCCCGACCGCGTCTTCGGCGAGGCTCCCCGGCGAATGCTTGCACCGCCCGCCCCTGAGCTCTTCGCCCCTGCCGTCGCCTCCGAGAGCGGCCCCGCGCGGCCCCGCCTCGTCGACCCCGGCGCTCGGCTCGCGCGGCACCCGCGGGCGGAGGGCTCCGACGTCCGCGGGGCGCACGAGCAGCTCGGGGGGGGGGGGGCCTCAGAGGCGGGCGGCGGGGCGCGCCTCAAGGGCACGGGGCGGGGGGACACGAGGCAAGCCTGGGGGGCCACGGCGTAGTGGTGCAGTGCGAAGAGGAGGAGGAGCTGGAGCAGGAGCAGGAGGGAGAGGAGGAGGAGGAGGAGGGGAGGAGGAGAGAGGAGGAGGAGGAGGAGGAGGAGTGAGGAGGAGGAGGAAGGAGGGGAGAGGGAGGAGGAGGCAGGAGGAGGAGGAGGAGGAGCAGCAGGAGGAGGAGGAGCACAGCCGAAAGGAATTCCGATCCGCCCTACCTGCCCGCCGCACTCCTCGCCCCATCCAGCTAAAGGGAGTTCGCCTCCATGGCGCGCTGGAGGGCCATCAAGTCGAGGAGAACCTATTGCCTTTTTCGGAGCGGGAACGGGGTGGCGAGCCGAATGGCTCCAAACAGACTCTATCACCGTGAAGGGCCCCCTTCTGAAGGCCTGCACACTTAAACGAAAACAATGGCACACCGAAACGAGGAAACCGAATTGGCTACCACGCCGCCCGAAACGGCGGAGGAGGCCGCCGGGCAGGAGGCATCAAAGGCACATAGAGGCTTGCCACATCAGGCGGATGCACGAGCATACACATATATACATATACATATATATATATATATATATATATATATATCGGTATGTGTATACATATATATATGTATATATATATATATATATATATATGTATTTGCATATACACACACACACACACACACACCTACATATGCTCTAAATGATGCATGAAGTCAGCCTCGCCCTCGCATTCATATATGCAGCCACCTTGGCGCTGCAAACGAGCATGAGCCAACTACGCTCCAAGCTGCGATTTGACGACGATCGAGGACTATGGGTGTGTGGGGGGGGGGGGGGCTCACGGAGGGAAGGGGAGATGACGCCCCAGTCGAATGGGCCCACTCCTGCCCGATCCATTTCTTGCAACGCCGTTCGGGCGCGTTGAACCTGGTTCACGCTGAGGCTCCTTTTCTGAACGCTCGCCGTGAACACCCGCTGCCGCTCGGGGCGCGGCTGCTGAGATTTCGAAGGAAACCGTCGCGGAGACTCTGCCCACCCCACCCGCGCCCCGCCCGCCCCACAAGAGGCCTGAAGGGCCCCGGGGAAGCCCGCGGCGGCGTCCGCCAGGAGAGCAGCAGGGAAGTCCAGTTGCCTGCCAGCGGGGCTGAGACGCCATGAGGCACAGCTGTGCGTGGAGCGGGGGCGCCGCTGCTCGGCCACTCTCCTCCGGCGTCGCTGGCGAGGACCCCGAAAGCCTTAGGAAGTGCGACCAGGGCACAGCGCATGCGGGCCGCAGCACAGGACGCGCGCTGGGACACGATCCGAGGGCCTCCAGCGGC